ATCCAGGATCCGCGATTCCCAGATCCCCTAAATCCAGGATCCTGTGATTCCCAGATCCTGTAAACCCAGGATCCCGCGATTCCCAGATCCCATAAATCCAGGATCCCGCGATTCCCAGATCCCATAAATCCAGGATCCTGTGATTCCCAGATCCTGTAAACCCAGGATCCCGCGATTCCCAGATCCCATAAATCCAGGATCCTGTGATTCCCAGATCCTGTAAACCCAGGATCCCGCGATTCCCAGATCCCATAAATCCAGGATCCAGCGATTCCCAGATCCCGCGATTCCCAGATCCCGTAGGATTCCCCCAGATCCATTCCTTACAGCATCCCACAGTTCTTCAACGGGGCAATTCCAGGATCCCGTAACCTCCCGTCCCCCCTTTCCCTTGGGAAAATTCCCGCCCGGAATTCCGGTGGCCTTTCCCCGCAGAGATCGTGGACGGCAACGCCAAGATGACGCTGGGGATGATCTGGACCATCATCCTGCGCTTCGCCATCCAGGACATCTCCGTGGAAGGTAACGGGGGGCGGGATCCAGCCTGGGATCCACCTGGGATCCACACTGGGTCCAGCCCAGGGTCCAGACTGGGATCCAGCCCGGCATCCACCCGGGATCCATAATGGGTCCAGCCTGAGATCCAGCCCGGGGTCCAGCCTGGGATCCAGCCCGGGTCCAGCCCGGGATCCACCCGGGATCCATAATGGGTCCAGCCTGGGATCCAGCCCGGGTCCAGCCTGAGATCCAGCCTGGGATCCAGCCGGGGTCCAGCCCAGGATCCACCCTGGGATCCATCCCAGGATCCATCCTGGATCCAGCCTGGGATCCAGCCCGGGTCCAGCCCGGGATCCACCCGGGATCCATAATGGGTCCAGCCTGGGATCCATCCTGGGATCCAGCTGGGGTCCAGCCCGGGATCCACCCGGGATCCATAATGGGTCCAGCCTGGGATCCATCCTGGGATCCAGCTGGGGTCCAGCCCGGGATCCACCCGGGATCCATAATGGGTCCAGCCTGGGATCCATCCTGGGATCCAGCTGGGGTCCAGCCCGGGATCCACCCGGGATCCATAATGGGTCCAGCCTGGGATCCATCCTGGGATCCAGCTGGGGTCCAGCCCAGGGTCTAGCCCAGGATCCACCCAGGATCCATCCTGGGATCCAGCTGGGACCCACCCGGGATCCATCCCGGCTCCCTGTTCCCGCAGAGACCTCGGCCAAGGAGGGGCTCCTGCTCTGGTGCCAGCGGAAAACGGCTCCGTACAAGAACGTCAACGTCCAGAACTTCCACATCAGGTCCTTCCTCCTCCTCCTCCTCCTCCTCTTCCTCCTCTTCCTCTTGCTTCCTCCTCTTCCTTCTTCCTCCTTCCTCCTCCTCCTTCCTCCTCCTCCTCCTCCTCTTCCTCCTTCCTCCTTCCTCCTGCTTCCTCCTGCTTCCTCCTCTTCCTCCTCTTCCTCCTTCCTCCTCCTCCTTCCTCCTCTTCCTCCTCCTTCTTTCTCCTCCTCCTCTTCCTTCTCCTTCCTCCTGCTTCTTCCTCCTCCTCCTCCTCCTCTTCCTCCTCTTCCTCCTCTTCCTCCCAGATTCCCTGTGCATTCCTGGGATCTGATCCCAGTTCTTGCTCTGGATTCCCCGGGATCCGATCCCGGTTTTACCTGTCCATTCCCTGGGATCTGATCCCCGTTTTCCCCATGGATTCCCCGGGATCCGATCCCGGTTTTCCCCGTGGATTCCCCAGGATCCGATCCCTGTTTTCCCCGTGGATTCCCCGGGATCCGATCCCGGTTTTCCCCGTGGATTCCCCGGGATCCGATCCCGGTTTTCCCCGTGGATTCCCCGGGATCCGATCCCTGTTTCCCCTTTGGGTTCCCTGGGATCCGATCCCGGTTTTCCCCGTGGATTCCCCGGGATCTGATCCCATTTTCCCACAGCTGGAAGGACGGGCTGGCCTTCAACGCTCTCATCCACCGGCACCGGCCGGAGCTGATCGAGTACGACAAGCTCCGGAAGGTAAATCCCCGGGAAAAAAAACCCCGGGAATTCCGGGAATTCCGGGAATTCCCAGCCCACGGAGCCTCTCCTCTCCCGTAGGACGACCCCGTCACCAACCTCAACAATGCCTTCGAGGTGGCCGAGAAGTTCCTGGACATTCCCAAGATGCTGGATGCCGAGGGTAAGCCTGGAGCTCCGGGATCCGCGGGATCCACGGGATCCCAGACGGGATTTCCTGGCAGGAGGCGCCGGATCCCGGAGGAAGCGGCCGATTTAACCGGGATTTTTCCCGTCCAGGTGGATTTAGCCGGGATTTGGGATCCTCAGAGCGGAATTCCGGGCTCTGCCAGGGGCGTTCCCCGGTTTGTTCCCAGTTTAACACAATCCGGCGATCCCATAAAAATCCAGGATCCGTAAAAAACCCTGGATCCCGTCGCTCTGCGATCCCACGGATCCTGGCATTCCAGGACTCCTTAAATCCAGAATTACCCAGCTCAGGGATCCCAGAATTCCTGGATCCCACAATTCCCAGACATCACAGATCCACCAGGATCCCCCCAGATCCAGGATTCCCACGGTGGTGGGATTCTGGGATTCTTTGATTCCACGATCTTGTGCTGCCGGGACCGGAGAATTCTCAGGACTCCACACTTGTACAATCCCACAATTCCAGGATCCCACAAATCTGGGATTCCCAAATTCCGGCATCCCACAATTCCAGGACCCCACAATTCCAGCATCCCGCAAATCTGGGATTCCCAAATTCTGGGGTCCCACAATTCCAGCATCCCACAAATCTGGGATTCCCAAATTCCGGCGTCCCACAATTCCAGCATCCCACAGATCTGAGATTCCCAAATTCCGGCATCCCACAATTCCAGGACTCCACAATTCCAGCATCCCGCAAATCTGGGATTCCCAATTCTGGTGTCCCACAATTCCAGCATCCCACAAATCTGGGATTCCCAAATTCCGGCGTCCCACAATTCCAGGACTCCACAAGTCTGGGATTCCCAAATTCCAGCATCCCGTAAATGTAGGATTTCATTATTCCAAGACTCCACAAATCTGGGATTCCCAAATTCCGGCATCCCACAATTCCAGGACTCCAGAAATCTGGGATTCCCAAATTCCGGCATCCCACAATTCCAGGACTCCAGAAATCTGGGATTCCCAAATTCCGGCATCCCACAATTCCAGGACTCCAGAAATCTGGGATTCCCAAATTCCGGCATCCCACAATTCCAGGACTCCAGAAATCTGGGATTCCCAAATTCCGGCATCCCACAATTCCAGGACTCCAGAAATCTGGGATTCCCAAATTCCGGCATCCCACAATTCCAGGACTCCAGAAATCTGGGATTCCCAAATTCCGGCATCCCACAATTCCAGGACTCCAGAAATCTGGGATTCCCAAATTCCGGCATCCCACAATTCCAGGACTCCAGAAATCTGGGATTCCCAAATTCCGGCATCCCACAATTCCAGGACTCCAGAAATCTGGGATTCCCAAATTCCGGCATCCCGTAAATGTAGGATTTCATTATTCCAGCATCCCACAAATCTGGGATTCCCAAATTCCGGCGTCCCACAATTCCAGGACTCCACAAATCCGGGATTTCCAAATTCCGGCATCCCATAATATTCCTTATTCCAGGACCCCGCAATTCCAGGATCCCACAATTCCAGGATCCCACAATTCCAGGATCCCCCATCTCTTCCCTCCCTCATTTCCAGGCTCCAGGAGGACTCACCCGCCCTAATCCCGACTTTTCCCCGTTTAGCCCCGATCCCTGCGGATTTCCCAGGATTTGGGACACCGGGAGCGGGATCCCGGTTTGCTCCCGGTTTCCTCCCGGTTTGCTCCCAGTTTCCTCCCAGTTTGCTCCCAGTTTCCTCCCAGTTTGCTCCCAGTTTCCTCCTGGTTTGCTCCCGGTTTCCTCCTGATTTGCTCCTGGTTTCGTCCCGGTTTGCTCCCAGTTTCCTCCTGGTTTGCTCCCAGTTTCCTCCCGGTTTGCTCCCAGTTTGCTCCCAGTTTGCTCCCAGTTTGCTCCCAGTTTGCTCCCGGTTTCCTCCTGGTTTCCTCCCAGTTTCCTCCTGGTTTCTTCCCAGTTTGCTCCCGGTTTGCTCCCGGTTTCGTCCCGGTTTCCTCCCGGTTTGCTCCCGGTTTGCTCCCAGTTTCCTCCCAGTTTGCTCCAGTTTCCTCCCGGTTTCCTCCCGGTTGGTTTCCTCCCGGTTTCCTCCCGGTTTCCTCCCGGTTTCCTCCCAGTTTGCTCCCAGTTTGCTCCCGGTTTCCTCCCGGTTTCCTCCCGGTTTCCTCCCAGTTTGCTCCCAGTTTCCTCCAGTTTCCTCCCGGTTTCCTCCC